CTCCCTCTCCCCCTCCTCCTCCTCCTCCTCTTGTGTGGAGAGGTACTGGGGACGGAACCCAGGAGCACTTAACCACTGAGCTGCACCCAGCCCTTTTTATGTTCTGAGACAGGGTCTCCCTTAAGTGGCTGACACTGGCCTTGCACTTGGGATCCTCCTCCTCGCAGTGCCTCCAAGTGGCTGGGATCCCAGGTGTGGCTGACCCACCTGGCTCACCTTTGGGGCTGACCTCAGCGGGCTCTTGGCCCCTTCCCCAGGGCCCTGTTGTAAAGGAGTCTGGTCTCACACACCGTTTCCGGCCCACAGCCCACACTTAGGAGCTCCTCTTGAGCCTTCCCCGGGTGGCAAATATGAAGGGGGCCGGGAGCATCTCTGCAGACGGAGGCGCTGGTTGCTGCCCTTCCCAGCGGAGCTGTCCTGGGCCTCAGGCGGTCTGCGGGCGCCGGCTCCGGGTTCCGCCTGGCATTGCCTTTTCCTTCCTTCATGGGCACCTGGCTCTGCTGGTGCTGAGCACTAGGTCTGAGCTGGCATCACATCCAGGGGGGGAGGCTAAAGCACCTTGGCCAGGAGAGAGGCCCGCAACTTGGGAAGTCGCCAGGGCTCAGGGGCATGGTGACACGTCCCTGGGGGCAGCTGTCAGGCCAGGCGTGGAGGATGGGAGAGGCCGGCTGGAGCTGTGAGGTTAGGGGCAAGTGGCCTTCCTCCCACCCTGGACGGTTGGTGTGTGCATGTCCCTCCTGCCTGGACCCATGCCCAGCTGGTGAGGCCACAGTGAGACTGGCAGGTCCTGACACCAGGGTCGGTTTGCCCAGCCCCAGCCTCTGCCAGGTTCGCTACCTCCACCAGAGCACAGGAGGCGCTGAGAAGGTGCTTGTGCCCTGTCCCTGCCAGCACCGACACGACCCTGCTCCGGCAGGCTGCGTCTTTGCGGTCGACCTATTCAGCCAGGGACTGGGAAAAAATCAGTGGAAGTATTTACGCTCTAAATAATTTTTGAGGAAGATGATTTTTAAATTTCAATGAATGCCATGAAGACCTTAAAGCAGAAAAAGACGAACGTGGAGATGAGATTGAGGAGAGCAAGGTGCTAGGAACAAGCAGGAACGTGGAGACTACGGGAGAGGCCTAGGGCGTCCCCAGGCCTGCTCGGCGTCCCTCACTGGGAGCTGTCCCTGCTGCCCTGCGGGGGTGCCACTGTGAGGCAGGTAACTGAGGATGCCCGGCCCTGGTCATTCCGAAACTCTTCAGCGTCTTCTGAAAAGACGCTGTGGGGGAGTCCATGTGAGTTTTCATTAAGTGACACAAAAAGTGTCCTATGACCCGGCTGGGCCTCCCTCATCCCAAGGGCGGGGGCCCCATGTGCTGCAGAGTGTGGACATTCACGAGCAATCGAGGGACCCCTCAGACACGGAGGCCCCTTGCACCCCGGCTGGAAGGCCATCTTGGACGGGGCCTCTGGTGCCGCCCACAGGAGGCCTCCAGCTCAGGTCCAGGCTTCGGAAGCTGGGGGTTGTTGGAGCGCACACTTCAGGCCGCGGCGGCTCGGTCACAACAGGAGCCCGGACGACGCGCTGCAGACTGAGGTGCTGAAGCGCTGTGGGAGCTGTCTCTTCCACACATGTGAGCCAGTGACCGCCAGTGACCCCCAAGGCGGGGGTGTTTAGCCAAGGTGCAGGTGTGGCCCCATGAGGGCAGAGACGCGGGTCCTCCTCAGCTGTGGGCACGGCGTCCTCCCATCTGCTGGCCGCAGAGGACGCACTCAGGCCTCTTCTCTCACAGGCAGCGAGATGCTGGCAAAATCAACTACATGTACGCTCAGTACGTCAAGAACACCATGGAGCCGCTCAATGTCCCCGACGTCAGCAGGGACCAAAGGCTGCCCTGGACGGTGAGTGCCTGCGGTCCACCGAGGTGGAGGCTGCTGCCGTCGCCTGCCCTGCCAGCCCTCCCGGTGGGCTGGCGCTCCCCGGTTGGTGAGGGAGGACGCACAGTCGTGGGGAGTGGCTGGCCTGGCTCTCTCTGTGCTTTCTAGTTGTTTAAAGGAATGTGACCAGAGGCTGGATGCCAGGTCAGGTGAGGCTTCTGCCGGTGAGCTGGCCTCCTGTCACGTGGGCTGTTCCTTTCTGTCTTCATCTAGAAGGAAAACACAGGAGCCGTGAGCCAGCAGCGCATTACCAGTTTGCTCTGTACCCCCATAAAAAATGGGAAGAAGAATAAAGTCATAGGTAAAGTCTTTCTGCTAACCTGTACTCTGCACTTGCTCTTTAAAATGTGTTTCCAACTCCTTCTTTCGGGTATAAATTTAAAGAATAAATTGTCTAAAAGAAGCTATAAAAATTGGAATGCTAAAAGCCTTTTGAGATACTTGTAAGTTGGTGAATGCCAGCAGATATATTTGTTAGGTATTTTATTAACCACAACTATCTTTGCCTGGGCACAGTGGTGCATACCACTTCTGGCTGCTTGGGAGGCTGAGGCAGGAGGATTGCAAGTTGGAGGCCTGCTTGGGCAACTAAGCCAGACCTAGTTTCAAACTTTGAAAAATAAAAATAAAGGGTTGGGTGTAGCTCAGTGGTAGAGCACTGCAGGCTTAATCCCCAGTACTAAGGAAAAAAAACAGATTTTCGTCATTATTATAATTCAATTTCACCAGAATTTTTTGTTTGAAAGTGGTGTATTAGAAGTTGGCAATGTGTGCTGTAATCTTGCTCCCTGGGTTCTGATTGTTTAAATATGTAGTTCAGTCATAGGTTGTATTCATTTGTTCATTCAGTAAGTATATTTTGAGCTATACACCGTGCTAGCACTTGGGATAGATCAGGGAGCAGAGCAGAAATCCCAACCCTGGGGACCCTATATTGGCACATAGAGGTTCAGGATGGTGGAAGAATGTGTTCTCAAAAGTGCATGATGCCTCCTGTTTTCAACGACATTTCCTTGGTATTATAGGTCACATTAAGTATAGGGCAGAGGGCATGTGACTTTACATGCCAATCCTCATGACTGACTTGGGAAAAAATCTCCCTGAGAACTTGGAAATAAAGGTAGACAAGTGCCTTCTAAAGATTAAACTTTAGAATTCAAACCCTAATTGAAGCAACACTTAGATAAATCTACCTTGAAAAGTGTGAATAGTTTTGAGTTGCAAGACTTGGCTGGGATTGGGTTAGAGCAGAGTCTCGGCAGAAGGAGGGAGGGGGGCGTCTGCAGGAGGAGGGGTACAAGGTCAGCTTTGGAAGTGCTTGGCCGGGTCGAGGGCCGGGGAGAGCCTGTCCTGGGCTCCTGTGTTCTGACCTCACACACACCACTGCTTGGGGGAGCAGGAGGGGGTAGGGGCAGCCTGTGGCGTCCTCGTCCTGTGCCATGAACATCCCCTTCGTCTGCCAGAGGGTAGAATGCAGTGTCGTGTGCCGCAGTCTGGCTGGGCACAAAAAACCGGGAGGTCACGAGCCACTTGTAGGTTCAAACAGGAACTACTTTATTGCCCCAACTCCACGGGAACTCAACCGGAACTCAACGGGAACTCCACGAGAACTCAAAAGTGGCGGGCACCGGAGGTAGCAGGAGCCGCCTTATTGCCGGACAGCAGAGGTTTATGTACACAACTGAATACACAGCTGGCTTCAATTTAGCATCATCCAGTTACAGCAATCAGTCATCATCTTAATAATTACACACAGCTTAACTTAATTATCACCATCCCAATGGCTCGCTGGCGTTACTTCTCAACCACTCCTTCTGGCAAAGTGCCAGATGTCATCTTGACTCGGCTGTGGCTCTCAACAGTCGTGTGCCCTGGACACACTGGTGCTCTGATGACCCCTTCCTGTTGAGCCGTGGGCTTGGCCTGATAAGGGCGGGGCCAGCCTCTCCTTGTCGTGTGCCAAGAAGGTCCTGGTTTCATAAATGAGTCTCCTGGACTTGGTCACTGTCCCTCCGCACAGAGGTGGTCTGTCCTTGGCACGCTGGTCTGCTGTCTAGCCCGGGTGGGAGTCGGCCTGTTGAGCTCATGTTGCCCGCCTACTGGGAGCTGCTGGCCGCTGCCCCACTGCCATGCTTGGAACACGGCAGGCCAGGAGTGTGACTCTCCTCGGGCCACTGTCCCCCAGACCTCCACACAGAAGAGGGCGAGGCCTTAGGAGGGACGCCAGGGCAGGGTCACGTGGTGGCCGCAGGCCAAGGGGAAGGTCAGCCGTCTTGTGCCTCCTGGGAGCCTGCAGGTCGCGGGAAGCTGCCTGGGACCTGGGGAACGTGGGGTGGGCCGCAGAGGAGCCTTGTTTGCCAGCCAGGTGCCCGCTGCCCGGCCGCTCCTGCACTCCGCCCAGTGGTCCTGGAGGAACTGCAGGGCTCAGCCTGGGAGGGGGACCCCAGCAGGCCCCCGCTCCCTGTCCCCTGGAGTGGTCCTGGGCGGGCCACACACCTCTGAGGAGGGGACTCTGCAGCCCTCAGGTCTATTCGGGACTCACGCCTGCCATCCTGCCCCTGTTTAGACCGAGAAGCAAAGGGCTTTAAAAGCAGCAGCGCAGTCCGCCTGGCCACACCGCCGGTCAGTCTGCCCAGAGTGAGCAAGCCTTGGTTTCCAGGGGAAGGTTCCCTGTAAATGAAATAACAGATCACTCAACCTCCTCTGTGTGGCTCGGAGGGCAGGAGACGCCTGCGTTGTCCCCAGTGTGAGGAGGAAATGGCCCTGCTGTTTTATGAACTAAGGAGACCAGAACAGGATTGGAGTCTGGGGCACCCTCATTCCTGCGGATGCCGCGTGGAAAGCCCGTGGCCCGGGTCTCTGCCCGGCCTCTGGGATCCGAGGGCCCGTGGAGCTGCTGCAGAGCAGAGCACCCACTAAGAGGTCTAAACCTGAGCGTCACACCGCCACATGGCCATGGCTTGGCAGAGGAGAGCCGACCCGCATTCGTCACCCGGTGTGCTGGAAGCTGGCTGCCACCGTGCTCCTCACGACGGCAAGTCCCTGTGTGACGTTTCCCCCTCGGTCACTAACTGCCGGGGTCTCACAGGGAGGCCGTACCCAGGAGGGAGCCTCATGTACAGAAGTGCATCTGCAATGTCACCTGGCCATGGGTCACCTCACACCAGCCCTTGCTCCATGGTCAGCGACCCGGGACTATTGGGGCGCGTCTGTTGGCCTGTGGGAGCTGCCCAAGCTCCCTGCTTTACCACGCTGCGGAGGATGCCGTGCTCAGCCCCCAGACCTGCGCCTGCCGAAGTGCTCCCTGCAGGCCTCCGTGACGCGCCCATCTTGGTCTGTTGGTGTGGGCTTCAGATGGTGACTCTTAGGGTAGGTGACCTCTCACCTGTGTGCCTGCGTGAGTCCCAGGCATGAACGAGGTTCTCCAGTTACCAGGTGAGAGTGTCACTTCACTGTGTCCCTGTGTGAGTTCTGTCCCGGCAGGTCACACACGTTTGTTTGCTGGTGACATACCCGCTGATGTTTCCTGAGGCAGGTGGTGTGCAGCCCTGGGCCGCCTTGTGTGTTGTTGCTTGTCACCAAAGTCCCCAGTCTTCCTGGTGAGAAAGTTGTAAATCCTGCTTAGTTCCAGTGCCACCGGGGCTAGAACTGCAGGGCAGAAGAGCTGGAAGAAAACAAAGGGAAGGTGATGGCCCGATTACCATGCAGCGAGCCGCACAGCCAGCCCACAGCCAGCCCCACAACGACCCCACAGTCAGCCCCACAGCCAGCCCACAGCCAGCCCCACAGCGACCCCACAGCCAGCCCACAGCCAGCCCACAGCCAGCCCACAGCCAGCCCACAACGAGCCCCACAGCCAGCCGCCCAGCCAGCAGACACGAGAAGCCAGCTGCAGGAGCTGGCCAGGGAGACTGCCCAGGAGGCCTGGTCGGGGACCGGAGCACACCTGCCCAGCACTGAGGGATCCTTACGGGCAGGAATACAGGCCACTCTGAGAACCCGATGTACACAAGATGGGCCAAGGCAGAGTCGGACGACAGCGTGGACAGGATACTAGGAGAAAGCCCAAGTGCTCAGGGACATGGAGCCACAGCCGGCCCCCAGAGACTCCGAGGAGATGAGACTGGTCAGCACTGGGGGGTTCAGAGAGGATGCGAGCACGGGCGACTGTGAGCAGGCCTCCCACCCAGAGGCTGAGGAGGGCGCTGGAGGCTGCGGAGGCCCATGGGGAGAGGGCAGCGGAAGGACACGGGGAGGGGCTGAGGGAGGACACGGGGAGGGGGTGCGGGAGGACATGGAAGGACATAGGGGCGGGGCTGAAGAAGGACATTGAAGGACATGGGGGAGGGGCGGCTGGAGGATGGGGGAGGGGCGGCGGGAGCTCTGTCGGGGACAGAGTGAGGCTCCAGACAACCTGGGCACACTGAGGACCCTAAGGGATCCCCCGAAGGCCACTGACGAAGCCATGCTCAAGGCTGTTCCAGGCTAAGCTGCTGGGAAGTCTGACAGTGTGGCCCAAGGAGATCCCACGGAAGGAGGCATGAAGCCCAGGGGGACCTGAAGGAGGCCCCGCAGCTCTGCAGTGACGTGGGTGGGAAGTGACAGGGAGCCGCTCGGAAGTCCTGGCAAGAGCCAGGGTCGGTTGTCGGCTGCGGAGGATGAACAGGGAGGACACAGGCAGACCAGCTCGTCGGAGAACAGTACTGCAAAGCTTCCCCCTGACAAAGCCTCGGGAGCAACCTGGGCAGGCGCACAGACGTGCCATCGGCAGCAGGAGCACCGAGTTCGAGTGCAGTGACCTCATCTCTAAGACACTGACTCTCCCAGGCTAGATTCACAGCGAGGTCAGTACCTGTCCCTGTGAGGTATTGATCGACATCCACAACAGGCCATCCGGGAGACCCACGGGAACCAGAGTTGGTGGACCAGGCTTACCCTATCGGCTCTTCCCCCGGCGTTGTCGACGTCACACCCAGTGACTGTTACCTGTCAGCAGACAGGGCAGGACTGATGGGAGGAGAGGGTGGAGGTGCAGACCCCGCCCGGAGTGTGTGCTTGTGCTGCTGAGGCAGCAGAACACACCTCATTGCTCACAAGAGGCCATGCATTGACAGACATTTTATTTATCTCCATGAATGGAAAAAAATGATTTCAGTAAAATATGAGGAGCTACTGATTGTAAGATAGCTTCAAAAGTATTTCAGTGCAGAGAAAGCACGCGTTTGAAACACGGAGATGGGTATCCTCAGTACTTCCCACGGTGCCTGTCTGGTGGAAACCGGAAGAGGTTTTTGTTTTGTTTTTTTGTTTGGTTTGGTTTGGTACAAGACATTGAACCCAGGGGCACCTGACCATTGAGCTATATCCCAGCCCTTTTTATATATTATTTAGAGACAGGGTCTTCTAAGTTGCTGAGGGTCTCCCTAAATTGCTGAGGCTGGCTTTGAACTTCCGATGCTCCTGCCTCAGCCTCCAGAGCCTCTGGGATCACAGGCGCGTACTACCGCTCCCAGCTAGAGGTCTTATCCTACACCCAGACACAGAGTGAGGAGGATCTGGCGATGTGCTTTACCCAAGCCCAGGCGGCGGCAGCCGTGTCTCCTGGAGACACCCAGCTCAGGTCCCCATGGTCGGCTCAGGGGACACTGTCCTGACGTCGACGCAGGCTTCCATTCCCCCAGGCTTGGCTTTCCAGGAGGGTCAGGACTTGGAAGGTCCGGCCAGATCTGCCCTTCTAAGTACATCATGGCTTTATCCGTGGAATCCGAGGGGTCTGCAAACCTGCCTCTCCCGGGTGCTCCGGGACATCCCGGGACCTCTGGGTGCTGTGTGAGGCTGCTCTTTTCCTCACCCTTTCTGAGTGCTGTTGCGTCCAACTCCAGGTCTGGGTGAGGAGGGCTGTCTGTGTGACCCAGAATTCCAGGCTGCATCAGATCGTCCCTTGGCAAGTGCTCAAAGATCCAATTAGTTTCTAAAGGACAGATCGTCTTGGGGGACTCGACTGATCTAATTCCACACTGAGCTGGAGGAGAAGCGTCCTCCGGGACTCTTGATCGCAGCAGCGGTGTGTCGGGACAGCTTGGGCTGCCCTCATGGACAGGTCTGGCCTGCTTTCCGAGCTGCGGTGGTGGGGGGATGCAGACTGGCCAGGAGAACAGCAGAGCACACCCGCAGGTGCTGCGTTGGCCCGGACCTGACGGCGGCTTCCCTCTCGTTCTCACAGGGGTTTGCCAGCTCGTCAACAAGAGGGACGAGAGCACGGGCGAGGCCAGGCCTTTCAGCCGCAGCGACGAGCAGTTCCTCGAGGCCTTTGTCATCTTCTGTGGCTTGGGCATCCAGAACACGCAGATGTACGAGGCGGTGGAGCGGGCCATGGCCCAGCAGATGGTCACGTTGGAGGTGGGCCAGAGCGCAAGCCGCCGCTGCACACCGGTCCTCGGCCTCCGTGGAAGCCAGGGAGACCCACGCAGAGCTTTCCAGGACCCTGTGAGGTCCTGTGGCTGCCTCTGCTGGGACACCCTGGCATTTCTGCAGAGCTCTCTCGGGATATGGCCGTCAACACAGGGTCTGCCACCATGGCCTGCCCCCTGCCCAGAGCTGAGCCCCCTCCCTCCGTGGGGATATGCACAAAAGCAGTATTTAAAAACCCAAACAGCAAAACTCCAAAGCACGCTTGAGCATTCAAATGAGGGAAGGAAGTCGGGGGAAAGAGGAGTGTCGGTCCCCAGGTAGACTGTGGGCCCCGCCCTCCACACTCGGATCCCGCACGTGGCTGGGGGCTGGGGACGTGGCCTCCTCAGAACAGAACCTCCACGTCGTCACTTTAAAAACTCTGATAGATGTTTTAAGTAAAATCAGTCCCTTGGTGGAAAAGGAGCTAGGGGTCTTGCGGTCAGTAGGAAGGAGTGAGCCTGGCTGTCACTGTCCCAGGGGACACTGAGGGGGGGGGCCAGAGCCAGCTCCAGGCCCTCATTCTCCCTCTGGCTGAGGCCCTCAGGAGCGTCTGGGCGCCATGTCTGGGCTGCTGTGCCAGCCCTGTCCCCTGGGTGTGCTGAGTGAGCTGCAGGGACCCTGCAGTCTACGTGCGGCCTTGCCCTGTGAATTCTGCTCTTCCACTCCAAGACCTGTTCCTCCCAAATTCAGCTTCAACGTGTCAGCTTATGCAGTCTTTTTCCCTTAATTTCTGTACAGAAGCAAGAATAGCTGAAGTCAGTGTTTGCCAGCTCAGCTTCCTGTTTCCCGAGGGGAGCCTCAGAACCCCAGCTGTGGTTCTCCCTCTGCACCGAGGGCAGCCGCTGGGGTCTGGTGCTCCCAGGGGCCAGGTCACCTCCCGAGAGGTCCAGCAGGTCAGCTGACAATTGTCCTGCGCGTCTCCTGCCCGCCTGACGCCACCCCCCTCCCTGCAGGTCCTGTCCTATCATGCCTCGGCGGCCGAGGAGGAGACCCGGGAGCTGCAGGCCCTGGCGGTAAGCCCTTCCTGCTTTCCCAGGCCCTGGCTGCAGCGCACGGGTGCCCACGGGCTCCTCCCGGGACAGCTGCCCGCGCAGGTCCTGGACTCTGACCCTGAGCCGAGCCGACTGGGCACACGCTGGACCTTCCTCAGCTCTGCTTCCTCCCGGGCAGAGTCACCGACCTCGGCGCAGCCACAGGACGGCTGGCTTGGCGGCACTCGTGACTCTGGCTTCCAGCCGTGGCCGCAGTCTTCCATCCTGCTTAGGCCAAGGCCCAGCTCTGTCTTGTCGTGGGGCCGTCATCTGACAGGCTCAGTGACACGAGGCCTTCACAGTCTGCCGTGTGGCTTCCGCTTCTGACCCCGCGGCTGGGCCTGCTGTGTGGGAAACTGATCCACACAGGCCAGCGCGCTGAGCCCAGGGGGAGACGAGCGCGGACACCCTCGGGGCACGCCCTGCGCTCTGCCCGACTCGGCCCGGCCTTGGTGGGGACCTGGAAGTCTGCCCACTCCGCCCCTGATGTTAAGTCCGTGCACATGACAGAGAGGTGTGACGAGCTGCCTGGGAATGGCCAGTGAGCAGCATCGCCACGGGCTGGGCCTTCTGCCCGGCTTCTCTTGGAAATGCACAGCTGGGCTGTGAGGGCCCCTGGAGCCAGGGGAGCAGGAGACTGGCGCTAGGCCACACTGCGTGAGGGAGAGCGGGGACTGCAGCCCACTGGCACAGCACCCCGCGTCGGCAGGCAGGAGGCAGTGGCACTTGCAGGTTGGGCACCCCGTGAGTGGGAGCGAGTGGCCAGGAGCAGTGCCAGAGGCTCAGCTGACTTCTCTGGAAGGAGGGCATCTTGGGCCTGGTTCTGGGTGGCACTGGCCCTGTCTTGTGGGTGCCCTATTAGCATTGGACTTAGTGGGCAGTTTTCCCCTGCTTGCAAGGCATGTGGTCTGGAGGTCACTGCCCACTGGCAGTGCCCAGCTGGCTGGGCTGCTTGCCTCCTCCTCCTCCAGTGTGGGCCGTGGGCTGGGACTGCCCCTTGGGAGGACACAGCAGGGTGCTGGTCCCAGGCTACTGGTTAGCAGAACTAGGGAGGCCAAGTCACTCTGCCGCCGTGTCCCGATAAATAAGAACCAGCAAGTGGAGGAATTTATAAAGATAACGTTAAAAAAGTGAGCCCCCAGCATACCAAACTCTGCCTTTCACTTCGAAAGTAGGACTGTCTTTCAAAAGAATCTGAAAACCATTTTCTCAATTATGTTTATAATTTTAGCAAGAGAGAAAACACTCTGGAATAGCTGGAAATTGCTGTATTGTGTATTGTTCCAAGCCATCTGTTGTTCCATTGGGAAGGTGGCTTCTGGCAGCTGCAGCGGGGACCTCAGGGTCACAGCACTTGCAGGGCAAGCAATTCATTGAAACCCATTGAAATTCAGCAACTGGCTTCCACTCGGCTGTCACTCCCTGCGTGAAACTCCTCTGCAGCCCGACCTCACAGGTGTCTGCCCCCCACATCAATTGCCAAAATTGCTGTCTCCATGACATCATTGGTCTCACTTTAAAACCCAAAAGCAATTGAAAGGCCCTCAAGTTTCCTTCACTTTTATTTTTGGAAATTTATTCTCAGGAGAATCAAACAATGTGCTGAGATATACTGCATATTCATGCCTGTGTACAGAAAGTTCTCAAGTTAGGGTGAGGGACTTAGTTGACAGGATTTTCCTTGCTGTGCCTGAGTCTTTCGAACACCTTCTCTTGGCTTAGAGGTGGCTATAGGGAAGCAGTACTCCAAGCCCAGCATTCTGATGGGCCTTGGAAAGATCCTTAGGCCCAGCGCTTGAGGTCACAGGAGGAACCCCGCTGGCTTCTTTGGTTACGAGAGAGTTAATTAGTCAGGACGCTGGGATGAAACAAAATCTTACTTGTTGTCCAGCCTTCGGGCAGCGTGGGCTGGCCAGGGCCTGCCTTCTCTGTGATGGCCCTGGTTGGAGAGGCGGTAGGGGAATCGGTCAAGGCCAGCCAGGCCTGGGACCCTCCTGGAGGGGCACTTGTGCTTCAGGCCACAACTTCACTGGGGTCTGTGCAGCCACTAGAGGTGTGTCTAGAGGGAGACGGAGCTGGAGTCCTGAGAGGCCTACTGTGCCCGAGGGCAAGAAGAGGACAAGGGGGACTGGAGGCAGGAGTCCAGAGAGGTCTGCCTCCTGACCTCCACCTTCCAGGCAGGTGGCACCGGTTCATCATGATCTGAGTTCCCAATAGCTGCTGGTGACAGTGTCGAGGTGGACCAGGGTGGTCCAGGGCAGTGGCTGAGTCAGTGCTGGTGGGCAGGTCAGGAGCTTTGTCCCCTGCTTTCAGAAAACCCTCTCTGGGGAGCTAGGCTACACCAAGAAGGTTTGAGCAGGTGACTTACGAGGACCTGCACCTATAGCACCTCTCTCACTGCCAGTCACCTGATGGGCTCATCTTGGAAGTCAGTGACAGTGCCTGGCTCCTTCCGACTCAGCTGCAAGGATCCAGAGTTCGCGTGGCTGCTCCTGCTTCGATGGGCATGCTCACCTTAGCCATTAGTGGTGGTGTTAGGAGCAGATGACTTCCTTCAGGAGGTTCAGAGGCAGTTTTGAGCCCTTCCTGGGCACTGTGTATGGCTGTGCATGGTCCTGTACTCAGGTAGGTCCATGTACGGAGCTGCACTGTGGCCCAGGTGTGAACCAAGTTTGGGTTCCAGGTCCTGAGCCCTGGTGTGCATGACTGTACATGGTCCTGTTCTCCTGTGGGGTCTGTGTATGGAGATATGCTGTGGTCTAGGTGTGAACTAGGTCTGGGTCCCAGGTCCTGAGCCCTGTGAACGGCTGTGCATGGTCCTGTTCTCCTGTAGGGTCTGTGTATGGA